CTTCAGAAGAAAAGCACATGAACTTGAAGACACAGCAATAGAAACTATCAAAAATAAATTACATAGATATAAAGGCTGAGAGAAACATTGAAAAATGTCCTTAGTGACTTGTCAATATCTATCAGGGTAACCCAAATGTAATTGGAATTACACAAGAATGGGAAAAAGAAAGGAATATAAAAGATATTTAAAAAACGATAAATTTCATATTATAAATTTACAGACCTGAATTTTATGAAAACTATAGATTCACAGATCTAAAAGGCTCAAGGAAAGCTTAATGAATAAAATAAGACCAACAAAAAGATAAACAAGAGTAAAAAAGAGAACTAAGTTAAATAAAAATAAAAGCAAGTTACATCATAAGCCAAATACTGAAAACCAGTGATAAGGAGAAAACACTTTTTAAGTAGCCAGAGGTAAAAAGAAAATAACATATATAAGAGAATAGATATCAATTTCTGGATGACAGCATGAGGAGCTCAGCTGACCAGCTCCCGTGTGACAATTATTTATGAAACAATCACTTGAAGTCTCTAGAAATGATCCTAAGGGCAAACAGCAAATGGAGAAACATTCGTTTAAGAAATTTTCCAGAAATGCGATAAAGAAAGAGAGACTGTGGTATTTGAACAAGATTACTTCCTTCTGCCCTCTTCCCAGTGAGCAAGACTGACTTCCCCAGAATTTGATAGTAAAGAACTCAGGGTTTCTTCTTCCTCCAGCACCCAGCTGAAGGGCTTTCTTCTTAAGAGGAGCAGGAATTCTATTTATCATCCTGCCTGTAACTGCCTGTTTTTCTGGTACTAAGTCAGTCCTGAGTGAGTACCTTAGAGAGGCAGGAGCTTCTACTCAACCCTCACTCATGGAATGACAGTTCTATCTTGGGTGTGACACATGAGAATCTTGGGGCCTCATATCCCTTTGCCTGGCTTGTGAGGCATGCCAGGAGAGGCAACACAAAAGGACATCAGGCTACCTCCTTCCACTCCTTAGAATGGGGATATCACTCAGAAATTTGCCATTACTGCCCCTCCAGCTTCAGAGATCTGGGTCAGAGATTTTGCTTGTGTGAAGAAGTAGGCTGTATAACATATAGCTCCTAATCTCTTTCTAAAGGAACTGAGTTCATTTTCAATAGATCATGGAGAAGTTTAGACATGAAGGTGCTCTTAAGGATGGTGGAGACTGTGGTGAAAAAGAACTAACAGGAATTTATGGATCTAATAATGATATAGCTTAGACCACAGGCTGGCTGGTTTTTAGAAGAGAACAGGGAAGTAAGTCGTCTAGAAGAAACTCTCATGGTAACAGAAAAAACTTCAAACATTGGCCTCAGAAACTATTTAATTGTAGGAGTCACCATTATATTAGTTTGTTTATAAAGGAATGTATGACTCAGGGCATTTTTGAAAGAAATGAAGTAGTCAGTTGCAAATAGTGGAGTTTAACAGGTAGATATGGTCAAGGAAAAAGTGAAAGACAGCCTACCAGTACGTCTGTCATCTCCGGGTGATTGTGAACATACCCAAAGCTGTGCAACATCAGAGGTTTAACATTTTGGGGGCTGGGATCTGGCAAATCACTAAAATTATTTATCCAGTCACTAAAGAAATAAAAAAGAAAATAATGGGGGGATAAAAAATAGGAGGTTAGGGGTGACCTCCTTGCTCCCTGCTCCCAGAGTGGGAGGTGAAGAACCCGGACAACCACATGCGAGTGAAGCACTCTCCAACAAGATCAACTTTGTGAATCTGCACTGAGGAAAAAAAAGGCGAACTGGAGAATCGGCCGCAAATTACGGAGAGTGCAGGACAAATAGTGGGAAGTGCAGCATGGGACGGCCACACCCGTCGGGGGGCTTGTCCGGGCAGTGTGATCTGACCCACAGGAAGGCGAATCTTCCTCCACCAACTTCCACACCCACGCAGGCAGGGAAGCGCCTGAAGTCAGTGCGAAGTGGCAGCACGGGCCGGTAGGTGGTGGGGAACGGAGACAGGAGTGCGAAACATTTTGAACTCTCCTGGGCGCTGTGCTAGATCTGCATTGAGTGGCGGGAGGGACTGTCCCGAGCAGGCGCTTCCCGATTGGACGCTTCCCTAGCCCATAGGGGAGAGTTTGGAAACAGGCTTCTCGCTACACGAGACTGCCAGGACCAGATTGGGGGAGGTGAACACCACAAAGGAGGCTCAGCCCGCGGAATTCGCTGAAAATTCGGCCAGCATTGGAAGGGACAGAGCACAGAATCCTCCTGCTGATCTGTCGAGACTTAGTGTGTTAGGGAAGCAGTGGGCTCAGCGGGCGGCTCTGAGAGACAGCTGCAGGAGACAGCAGCAACAAACCCCAGCTCCCGATACCTGCCCGGTGCAGTTATCTCCAGCGCTGACTCTCAGTGGGCGGGCAGCCACCATTTTGGGAGTCCAAAGCCTAAAGATACCAGGGCTTGTTGCCCAGGCAATGGTCTGAGTCATCACCGTTGCCTCGGTGGCAAAGCTGGTCACGCCCTTCGAGGAGGAGAGTAATGCGAGAAACCACTTTTTCTCCCAAAACTGTGGACAGTCTTTCCCAGCTGGTGACTCAAGCTCTGCCTTTGAAAGGCAGAAAAGGGAGAAAGATTTATTTTTCCGCTGAGTTACCAGGCGGTCTCTGTTCCATTCAGCCGCTGGCGCTGTGTGCCAAAAAGATGGTGAACTAAAGGAGACCGCTTGTAGAGCCGTGATCCGGAATGACATAACCACCCCCTCTCCCAGGTGACTCGACTCCCCCCACCCACCGCCTCACGCCAAAGGGACTGTCTCCACCTCTGGGTGGAGTAAAGGGGTCGCTTTTTTAA